GCCCCTCCGGCGTGCCCCCCACCTCCGAGGAGATTTCCTCCCTCCTCGACACTATCTTCACATCCGACTCCTCCCAGAAGTCTCTTGATGGCGCATATGCCTTGACCAACTTGCTCATGCAGGGTGCCGGCTGTGCAGGCCTGCTGAACTACAATGTTCTCGCCGCTGTCCGCAAGGCCGCTTCCGATAAGAAGAATGGCGCCAAGCGTGAGAGTGCCATGCTCATTATTGGTGCTTTGTTCGAGCGTTTCCCCCGCGAGTTCCCTCTCAGTGAAGCTGTTTTCCTCTTGCACGACGGAGGCATCTTTGATATCGCTCTGGACGCCCTGTCTGACAAGGGTGCCGTTGTGCGTGATGCTGCCCAGTACGCCATCGATGCCCTCTACGGTTGTCTCAGCCCCGAGGCCATGGTCAACGGTCTGATCCCTGCCCTCGAGCGTTACCTGTCCAAGGGCTCTGGCAAGTGGCAAGGCTTTGTCGGTGCCTACTCGCTTATCGAAAAGATGGCGATCAAGGCACAGTTGGGCAAGGGTTCCAAGGAAGAGGAGCGCCAGAAGGACTTGCTGCGCGATGCGATGGGCAGGACACTGAAGGAGCTCATTCCCATCGTTGAGAACGGCATGCACGACCTCAAGAGCGAAGTGACCAAGCAGTCTTGCAAGACCATGACTGCCCTCACCACCCTCCTGTCTAACGACGACGTTGCCCCCCGCATTCCTCTTCTGATCAAGACTATGGAGAACCCTTCCGCTCAGACTCTCCAGAAGGCGATCCACGCTTTGTCCCAGACCACCTTCGTCGCCATCGTCACATCCCCCGTGTTGGCCATGCTCACCCCTCTCCTCGCCCGATCCCTCAATACCCCGGCTACTCCCCAAGAGACTCTTCGCCAGACTGTGGTCGTTGTGGAGAACTTGACTAAGCTGGTTCACGATCCCGCTGAGGCTCGTACTTTCCTCCCCAAGCTCCAGCCTGGTGTGAAGTCAGTCAAGGAGACTGCCTCCCTGCCCGAGGTTCGTGAGCTTGCCACACGTGCTCTCGATGTTATCGAGACTGCCATGGGCGATGATCATCTCGCCTCTGGTTCCATCTCTAAGACCACCTCCGAGGAGGTCCTGACCGTGCTGAACGCAAAGGTTCAGGAACACGGTGGTCTGGGTGGCTTTGGTGACTCCAAGCTGCAGGATTTGGCCAAGAACTACATTGCCAGTATGGTCCGCGAGGATGTCAACTGCCGCATGCACGATCGTATTACCGGTCGCATTGATCCCTACCTCCGCGGCCTGCTTGCGGATGGCAACACTGAGGCTGTTGCCACTGCTGTCCAATCCCACTACGTTGCAGAGGATGAGATTAAGTACGGCAAGCCTGTCCCGGAAGACCCTAATGATATTGAGATTGTCAACGCCGACTTCTCTCTTGCATACGGAGGTATGCTTCTGCTGTCCCACACCAACCTGCGTCTCCTCAAGGGCCACCGCTACGGTCTTTGCGGTCGCAACGGTGCCGGCAAGTCTACCCTGATGCGCAGTATCGCCAACGAGAAGCTGGAAGGCTTCCCTCCCCAGGATGAGGTGCGCACTTGCTTTGTGGAGCACAACCAGGGCGAAGACGCCAACTTGACCATCCTTGAGTATGTTGCGAAGGATCCCAAGATTGTTTCTCAGGGCATGGACCACATTCGCGACGTTCTCCTCGAGTTCGGCTTCACCGATGGCCCCGAGGGCCGCCAGTCCCAGCCCGTGGGCTCTCTGTCCGGTGGTTGGAAGATGAAGCTGGCTTTGGCCCGTGCTATGCTCCAGAAGGCTGATGTGCTCCTCCTGGACGAACCTACTAATCACTTGGATGTGGCAAACGTCAAGTGGCTGCAGGAGTACCTGAAGTCGCACACTGAGATTACCAGTCTGATCGTCAGTCACGATTCTGGCTTCCTCGATGAAGTCTGCACTGATATCTACCACTACGAGGGCAAGAAGCTTGTCTGCTACAAGGGTAACCTTGCCGAATTCGTCAAGCAGAAGCCCGAGGGCAAGAGTTATTACACTCTGTCTGCATCCAACGTGCAGTTCAAGTTCCCTCCCCCGGCATCTTGTCTGGTATCAAATCCCAGACTCGTGCCATTATGCGCATGACCAACGTCTCATACACCTACCCGGGCGCTCCCCGCCCCTCGCTGCACGATGCCTCATTGTCGCTTACGCTCTCCTCCCGTGTCGCTATCATTGGTGGAAACGGTGCCGGCAAGTCTACTTTCATCAAGATTCTGACTGGTGAGACCATTCCTCAGGGCGGAAAGGTGGAGAAGCACCCCAACTTGCGTATCGGTTACATCAAGCAGCACGCTCTGGAGCACGTGGAGATGCACTTGGAGAAGACTCCCAGCCAGTACCTCCAGTGGCGTTACGCCAACGGTGACGATCGTGAAGTCTTCATGAAGCAGACCCGTATTCTTACTGATGAGGACAAGGCGCAGCTGGAGAAGCCAGTTGACCTTGGTGATGGTCGCGGTGGCCGTCGCATCGAGACCTTGATTGGTCGTCAGAAGTGGAAGAAGTCCTTCCAGTACGAGGTCAAGTGGGTTGGCCTTCTCCCCAAGTACAACACCATGATCTCTCGTGAGACCCTGCTCGAGCTTGGTTTCTTCAAGCTGATCCAGGAGTTCGACGATCACGAGGCTTCCCGTGAAGGTCTGGGCTTCCGTGTTCTTGACCCCAAGACCATCACCAAGCACTTCGAGGACATTGGTATGGACCCCGAGATTGCCAACCACAACGAGATCTCCGGTCTTTCCGGTGGTCAGAAGGTCAAGGTCGTGCTTGCTGGTGCCATGTGGAACAACCCCCATCTGTTGGTCCTGGACGAGCCGACTAACTTCTTGGATCGTGATTCCCTCGGTGGTCTGGCTGTTGCCATTCGCGACTTCAAGGGTGGTGTTGTTATGATTTCTCACAACGAGGAGTTCGTGGGTGCTCTCTGCCCCGAGCAGCTGCACATTGCCGATGGCCGTGTTGTCAGCCGTACCAACAACGCTGTCAGCCTCGACCGCTTCGAGGACAGCGCTACCAACTCGCCTTCCGGCCCTGGTACCCCCGCCACTGGCTCGGCCGTTACCAGTGCCGCCCCATCTGCCGTCAACTCCGGCGATGAAGGCGATCTCAAGTTCCGCGCCAAGAAGAAGAAGAAGATGACTCGTGCTCAGCAGAAGGAGCGTGAGATTCGCCGTCGTCTGCGTTACATCGAATGGGTGAGTTTTTCTTATTCATATCTCTACTTTCCACAGTATGCTAACCTATTTTCTAGTTGAACTCCCCCAAGGGTACTCCCAAGCCCGCCGACTCCGACGACGAATAGACGTGCTTCCACGTGCTTCAACATTATGATTCGTAATCGCGGAGAGAATGATTCCGATTATATCCTCGCATCATGAGCGCCATGTTAATGTTTTGGTCCGCAATGGATCCGATAGACGGTGTTTCGGCGTTTGTTATATTGATTTTTCCGGCATAGATTTTGTTATATGCCCTTTTCAGTACTGTACATGTTTCGGATAGATACTTCAGTGTGTCTGCCTTGTCAAAGCAAAAGTTTATACGTTATTTGATTTTCTTTCACTTCACAAGCCTTATATGGCCCTTGGTAGAATATACATACTATGGTCAATTTAGTTCAGCAAGTTCGTCAATTTTCCTAATCTCATAGACACCTTTAAAGAATCCCGAATCCCGAATCAATAATATGTAGCACAATATTATTGTTTACATTCAGAGGCCTCCAATGCCATCTAGTCAGGTCTATAAGGCAACCTTGGTCATCATGGTGTGTGGCATGACGACAACCATGGCCCTAAAGGAGTCAAGGGATCGCTCGAGGAATTATGCACCCGTCCCTACATATTGTACCTGTATATGCCATGCCGCTTTATTATCTCGTAGGATTACTCAACACCTGGGCACTTAATTGGACTTAATAAGCAGATGATCCTGCGTCGATCTCCAAATGTCAACTTTTGACTTGGATATGTTTTCTCATCTCATCAGTTCCACCTTTCACCATTGATCTCTTTCCCATCTATATAAAAAAAGAAAACAGCTGAATGGCGGCTATTGACTCTGCCCGGTGGCTTGTGGTGGTGCCAAGGCAGGGGGATGACATGACGTAGGGCCAAAAATTTCCAGATTTCAATGACTTCGCATTTTGTTCTTCCAACACTCTAGATTGTAGAGCTAAAATATAGAATTTGATTTCATTCCATTCGCCAAAATGCCTTGGTCTTTCGCTCTGCCTCATGTTCTCTTCGCCAACCCCTATCTGGCGATTGCGACCCCAATCACCGCAGGGACTACAGTGGCCCTCTTGACCAACCGTAAGTCGACCGGTGACGATTACAGACAATCATTAACGACTCTATAGGCAAGCAAAATCGTGAAACCTACAAGCAGCTGAAGCAGCCGCCCTACAGTCCCCCAGGATGGCTCTTCGCACCGGCCTGGACCCTCCTTTATGGATTGATGGGTTACGCCTCTCATCACGCCACCACCACCGCTTCGCAATCTTTTTCTCTGGCTGCCCGTGATGCCAATTCCACTGCCCAGACCCTCTACACCACACAATTGGTCTTGAATTTCCTCTGGATGCCACTCTTCTTCCGGCTAAGCCGACCCGCCGTGGCCTTGGGGGATCTGGCCTTGTTAGCGGGCAATGTGGGTGCCCTGATGGTCAACTGGTGGACTGCGGATCGGACCGCTTTCTGGTGTCTTGTTCCCTACGCTGTATGGCTCGGATATGCGGCGTATCTCAATGCCGGCTGTGGTGTTCTGAACAGATGGACGGTGCCTACTGGGAAGGAACGGTCAGAGTAGGAGAACAACAATGTACAATATAGAATGTACTTCATACGATATCAGAAATTAAATCAAGGTGCAAATTCTAGAATTAAAATTGGAAGAAAGTAAAAACTTCCTCTATTCTGCTTTGACACTGATTCTGAAGCTATATGGGCTCTATGGGACAAAGAACCCAAAAATCAAGTGCTCGATAACACGGAAAAAGAGTAATCGAGTGCTTCCTCGCTCTATATTGTTGTTCCTATACACTACAGAGATAAAGATCACTCTTGCTTGCATCGTTTCATCCAAATCGTGCTCGAAAATATCAGTGGCCTCGGGGTTAATGTACACACCCTGCTCCTTGTCATGGCGCTTGTTCTCCCAGTCCAAGTAAAATCTCAAGACGATTGCGAGACCAATTACCACGGCAAGTAAGCCGATAGAGCCATTGTAAGCAGTCTAAAACAATATGAGCATAGATACCTGGATATAGCACCGTTAGGGGAGGGAGGACATACAAGGTAGTGTGGTGCTTCCTTTTCAATGAAGAGCTGTGGTCCGGCAATGTTGCCAGCACAGTAAAATATGAAGAAATGAGCCTGATCAGTTGCTTTTTTGGTGAAGCCGTCGACATTACTGGCTAGTAAGCTGAGAAAGAGCGGGAAGGATGCAGCGAAAGCGTTCATAAGCCATGCACCGACGAGACGACCGTACTTGTTGGAGGTTGGCAGTTGTCGGATCAACAGAAGGCCAACAATAGTTATTATCCATGAACACATACAGAGAATGATACGGGAGCGTCGAACTCGGGAAGATATGCCTGTGAGGATAACAACGGTTATGAAAGATACTGCTGCGCCGGGAAGGTTGAATAGGAGTGTGGTAAAGGTGTCAAATCCAAGTCTGGCTATGATCAAAGATCCAAACTTATGAATCAATTAGCAAATTTAAGCCAGTTGTTGAGATTGTAGAGAGCTTACATTGGCTACAACCTATTGGACTTTGAAAACGATGTATCAATAAGAGAGATGGAATAGACCGCGTTGTCTGGTTATACTTTATTGGGTGCCTGAAACGCCGTATAATACTGCTTAACGAGAGCAGATGTTTTGCTTGTTCAGGAAGGACTCTCATACTACTAATATAGTGCTATGAAGTAGCGAGATTAATCAAAGAACAATTATACAAAAACCCGTACTAAATCAACAGGTAATTCAAAGGTCCGTTTACAATATCAATAGCGTTTCAAGTCCTGCAAATCAAAACTCGACCACCAGGGGTAAATCCCTAGAGCTCCGCCCCGCCCAGATACGGAATTTGCCTTCTATAGGCAGCACCCAGTTCTGCGCGCGAACACTCCAATAGCTGAGGTCCTTCCGGGTCAACGTCATCTTGACATTTTTAGTCTCACCTGGTTGCAGGAGGACTTTCGAAAAATTCCGTAGGACACGCTCAGGGAACTCAATTGACTCACGGGACCAGCCCAGTCCACGGTGCTCGGCAACATCGTCAGGGAAGGAAACATATACCTGTATCACATCTTGTCCTGTGCGCGTGCCGGTGTTTGTCACTTCGATGGTGGCCTCGAGTATGGGCTCGTAGAGGGATGGATTCCCTCCTGGTCCGCCGCCTGCGGCAGATGGGTTCTGAGATTTGGTATATCCTTCCGGGTATGGGTATGGGCCAGGCTCGGTTCCTTCCAGGGTGGTGAGATAAGGATAGATGTATTTGCGGAGTGCACGGAAACCTGGAGGGAATAAATTGTTGGCGGGGTTGTCCTGTTTGTTATCGTATGCAGGAGGTTCGACTTCGTTTGCGGGCCGTTTGGAAGGCCACTGCGACTTCTTCTGCAGTTTTTCAATGCTTAGGGCAGTGTAGTCAAAGGTTGTGTATGACAGGCCGAAGCCAAACTCGAACCGAGGAGTGATGTTGAATTTGTCGAAATAACGGTAATCGATATACAGGCCCTGATCCAGGTCGACTTGGGGAACGGATGAGTCTGGATGCTCGTACAGGACTTGTGCCCCTGGGCCGTAGTCTTCTAGGCTTCGTCCGATCGTGTATGGCAGTCGTCCACTGGCGTCTACATCTCCAAATAGAACGTCCACCAACGCATTCCCGCTTTCTTGCCCGGGTAGATTGGCATACAGTACACCGTGTACACCAGGAAGGTCAATCCAAGACTCCATCACGACGGGGCCAATAGAGTGTACAATTACGACTGTTTTGCCTTGGCCACCGCCGCAGTGCTGGGCTACACCCTCCACCAATTGAGTGCCGTTCTTTTGTAGGAACAGGTCATTTCGGTCTGCATCAATCTCACCACTGCGGATAAACCCTTCGCCGCCATCTGCGTTCACAAAGACCAGACAGAGATCCTGCTCTGTGAGGTCTTGGGGTGCAACATTGTTCGTCAAGTAGGCTTTAACGTCGACAGAGTCTTTCGACCACGCATGCTGCAGTGCTTCCCATGGACTGACCAAGTATGGGAAGTCTACAGCTCCACTACCCCAACCAGATGCCAAGGTTCCTTGATTACATCCTCGGTCAACACAAGAGTTTGGTCCTTGGCCGGGGCCAGCGTCTTCGCCGTATACACCGACCCGGTGCTTGCCATTGGGTGTGGGATTTTTCCGCGAGAGTGGAAGGGTATTATTGATGTTTTTCAAAAGCACAGTGCCTTCTGCAGCGATCTGGCGAGCAACAATGGAATGAGCGTGATCGGCTGTTCCCTGTGCGTCGACAAATTTGTTGACCACGCCGGTTGCATCATTATCCGGTGAGCCTTCGTGCAAATGTCCAACTCGCTCCTTCGTCCAGGACGAGAAGTTCGGCCCACCGTCGCCCTCAGGAGCAGGAGGTTCCCATGAGTCCTGTCCGGAATGGTACCAGGCGGCCACGATGCGAGTAACCATATCGTTCAGGCGCGCCATAGGGACAGATGTGTTCAATGCTGCCCGAGTCAATTCAGTCCCCCAGACAGGGATACCGTCGGCCCAACTGAGGCCGTCACCGGGCATGCTCATATCCAGGCCCGCGATGGCGCTGTGAACGCCTGAACGCTGAGCCAGCCAGTCTGACTGCACGAACCCTTGGAACCCCATCTCATCTTTCAGAATTCCATTGATGAGCTTACTATTCTCGCAAGCATAGCTGTTGTTGACCATTTGGTAGGAGCACATGACGCTAGCCACGTCGGCACGTACACTCTCAGCGAAGGGCCAGGCAAAGACCTCGTGCAATGCGCGATCATCAATATTCGACGACAATGCAGTTGGAGTACCCCATTCTAATGCCTGACGGAAGTGTTCTTGTTCATTTCCAATAAAGTGTTTCGCCGTGGCCATGACTCCGTTCTGCTGGATACCGCGAATGGTTTCTGCCGCAGCCACGCCTTGCAAAACTGGATCTGAACCAAATGCCTCCCAATTACGCCCACCGGCAGGCATCATGCCGAGCGGTCCCATGGATGGACCAAGGATGATATTCACGCCTTTCAGCCGCGCTTCGTTTCCTAGAGCCAAGCCTCGCATTTTCATAAGCTCGCGGTTCCATGTCGCGCCCGTAGTGATCCCTGCGGGGAAAGCTGTAATGTTTTGCGCAAATCTGAGGCCGAGTGGGCCGTCTTGTAGGCAAAGGGAAGGGAATTTGACGAGTTCGGCAGGTCCTAGACAACAGTTCGCATCAGAGTATGCACAGCCATAGTATTGATAAGATATCAAGCGCTTACCCGTATTTCCAACACAGAGACCCATTTGCCAGCCTGTTCCAGTAGTGACGTTCACCTTTTCGGCGAGGGTCATTTTTCTCACCATTTCTTGTGCCTTGATGTAACTGTCCTTCCATCGCTCGCTTGTTCCACCGAGGGGAGTAGGGTACCAGGGGACAGTTTGCTGTGATTATTAGGTGCTGGTTCTAGATCTTGAAGACTAATCGAAGAAGAGGGAAGACCTACAAATTCACCAATGGCGGCACTGGCAGATGACCAGGGTAGACCCCTGATCGACAACCATACCACCAGGATCGCGATTGTCAACATGCCCGCAACATTCCACCACGAGTGCAGACGGAATAACGACCTCCAGTCGAAGTTTTTCTCCCCATCTTCACCCTCCCTATCTTTCAAAAGCAAGCCCTTATCAGGTGGGACGCCATAGTCGTCACTGTATCGATCACTGAGAAGCAGAGAGTCTCTGTCCGAGTGTCCTTCCTCTAAATCTGTAGCGAATGAATGCGACAGCACGGTTCGATCCGCCTCAAGAAGATCTTTTATGCGCTTTGAAATGTCACGCTCATCGTCGGGGACATCAATGGGAGTGGGGGTCGGGCCATTTGTTTTGGAGCTCGAGGGTCGTGCATCTCGAGCTCTGCCGTGTTTCAAAGGTCGAAGTTTTATATAGGCCTGCTCAGAGGATTCATCTCCACTCGAAGGAGTGTCAAGGCCATCATTTTGTCCCCAACTGCTCTCTGACGTTGAATGTTCGACCGGTGGATTCTGTAGTGACGTGTAGCCGCGACGCGTAGGAGGGTTGGAGGATTTGACCGAGCGCGAGGCTCCGGCCTTGGCACGTGGGGAAGCCATTCAATCTGCGATGCCCATGATTTTGCAGACTATCTGAAAATGATCAAGGACAAGTTTGGTAAGGAATAGATTGATTCTTGTCCTATCTCCAACGCGTCACGGAGAAAATGGTGGGTCACCTGACATCATATCATATCCAACATATGCCCCTTTTTGTCAACATCCAAGTGTGAAATTAACATACAACCTATATTGTAATCCTTCTTCTGCAATATAAGACAGTGTGCTCTGTATCTTGCGAACTTGACTACCCCGATAGCACTGTTCTATTATTATCATTATTCTACCTCACAACTCCACATGGTAGTGCTAGTAAGAGGGATCATGGCTATATTAATTATATCTAATTATATTCAACTATACATAAAAGTCATCGATAGAATACTGCAGCATCATACATCGATGTATAAGAATAATTAAAGTTAGTGGCGTCAGATTAACTGTTGCAATTATACGATGTATATCATCTATATTAAGTCGAGACCATTCGAGAACTTCCAAATCGAAAATTGCAATATAACAACTCACAATATGCACGATATGCACAAGGGACCACCCACAGATTATGGCAATTGATGGCACAAGCCAATTATGTCAAGCACGATGTGCCCTGAGACAATGTGGATATCGTGGATCCCCATATGGCGCAGCTAAGAGGTTGCCGTTTTCTTCTTGTTATTATTCCTTAGAGGCAAAATCTGTCGGACTTCCGATAAGTCCTGTCGATCTTTACTTGCCGTCAAACTTTCATGACTTCTCTGAAACAGCTCTTCGGGCTCTTCTATTAGGATCTTCAGATTCTTACCGTGTGTGTTTTGGATCAATTGGGGTGCCATCTGCTAATTTTATCTACTTGGGTGTCAATCGACACAAGGAAGGGGAATATAACGGTGTAAACAACCAAAACAGAGAAATCATGTGTGGGTTCCCATTTAGTCAGATCTTCAGTGGAGATTCTTCGACCGATTGGATCCTATCATGTTCCAGAATGCGAAACCCCCAATGGACCAAATAGACAGTAAGTAGAGACATTGTTGTATATTACATTGTATGTGAGTTGTTTGTTGTCACTACCTAACTCGGCTCTCTTCCCATTTTGGGCCTCGTGGCTCCATATCCTCCCTTCTCCATATCTCCCGAATGGGGTTATAGTGTAGATCAAACATTTCTCTCTATTTCTTGTTTCTTCGTTTTGGCTCCACCTGTATTCAATGTCGATCAGAAGATTTCTCCGATGAATCCGCTTATGGAGTTGCTCAAGCACGTCCCTTTCTGTGCCCATCTTATATATGACCTTGGTAGATCCATTTAAATCTCTTTCTAGTTTTCTATCTTTCTTTCTCAATATCAATTACCTCGTTTCTTCCTCACAATGAAGTTCTCCGCCATTCTCGCTCTCGCCCCTCTTGTGGCTGCCATCCCCGGCTCCAAGCAGCCTAAGAGCTCCGATGGTGCCTTCAGCGTCATGTCTGCTCGCTCCGCTTCTCCCGTCCACCTGCTGCCTCTCAATGCTGCCGGTACCTACTTCTGGCTCGGTGGTAATGCCCACACTTATTCTCCCATCCCCGGAGTCCCCGACACCAATCAGACCGTGATTGCCAACAGTCACTTCTTGGTTAGTAACTCACCCATGTATCGTTCTAATGCTCCCATTTGTTAACTTTATACTCAGGACGTCGAGGTTCCCGGCGGCCAGGCTATCTATGTCGATAACAAGGGTGCTCTGCGCTTCACCTCTCCCCACTCCGCTTACGAGCCCGCTGGCTCCTCCGATGGTCCCTTCGTCTACACTCCCGGCAGCTCTTTCGGCCACTGGAGCTACAACGGCCAGGGTACTTCTGGCTTCATGGCTTGCCCCACTACCAACAATACCGCTGGCTACCGCCGTTCCCGTCGGGGCGCTGCTGCCGCCCCCAAGTGGCAGGTCTATGCTGCTCTGAAGAATGCTACCGTTCCCTCTGGCAATGTTGATGACTGCCTCGGCTTCGATGCTCTCGCTGTTGCTGTCAACACCACCACCCCTGTTGCTTGGGAGTACATCTAAAGCATTCAAGTCCGGAACTTGGCATTTTAGCTGTATAGTATAACTGCTAGGTGTAGTCCTGAGAAGGATATGGAGGATGCAGTTGAATATTGCTATCGTTGATTTTATATTCGTCTGGTTATTTGCCCCGAAGCACCACGGATTTTACTTAATTCGATACCTTGGGCAAAATAGTGTCCGAATTAACTTTGAATTAGACGACGTCTGTGTGAACTTTTGGGATATAAACCAGAGATGAGGGGTGGATAGAAGAAATGATTTGTGATATCCACTTGTTTGGCAAAAGCTATTCAATGTCATTGATCAACGCCCCATTGCAGATTTTTGACGTCCCAGTATATCATCGGTAAATGTGAATCAAGTTCTAAACCCATATCTTCCGACAAGTCATAGGGTATCCTATCCACAAACAGCAAACCTTTTGAGATTTTCAGTTGTAGCTACGTCAGATGCAAACAAATGGGCCAAAGATGTGATGTAAGGGTAATTATATGGCCGATTTATCTCTTCTAGCATTGACCGAAGACAGTTGATGCAGAGCTTGGCCCTACCCCACGATCTGCCAGTCTGATCTATCATTTCAAGGCATTTAGGTATCACTACAAGCAAAACGTGAGATGCTGCCGGCCTCATCAGAAGCTGAGAGCAATATTGGATTCTAGATCCTCGGGTTCAGAGTCATCGCCGATAACGCCGGCATCAATGCTCGCAAAAGCAGCGTCGAGCTCTTCGCATAAGTCGTCGGCAGTGATAGCAACGACCTCTTCTTCCATGTTCTTTAGATAGTATCCTCCGTTCTCGGCATGGAGAATTGTTTCCGGGTTAAGCTTCACCAGATCGTTGAGGGATTGTCTATCATGAACGATAACAACGTCGCTCGGGGGCGTGGTATGGTACCGGGTAAGTCCTTCAACCATCGTGACCAAGTAGCACAGCAAGTACGCAAGGGTCAAGAAGGATTGCATATCGAACTTGTCACTAGTGAGGGGTCCTTATAAGGGCATAAGCGCATTAGTCAATTAGTCATCTATTACTTGGCACCCGCGGCCCAAGTATAGATCACAGATTTTGTGATACAGATCTTCTATTGCATACCTTGTAGCAAGTCAAAAAAATGTCGAAAAAAGGAAGATTGAGACACAACGCTCTAGCCTTTATTGGACTTCTCAGACAGAACAGTCAGTCAATGGATATGATGTAGTAAAGATTCCCAGGGAAGTTGGCCTACCTTGCTATTTCTGGAGTAAATCGGGAAGCGACTGAGATACAGAAGGCATATAGGAAATTATGATCCTTTTAAGCTATTCAGATCGACCAGCTAGACTAGCCCTCTGACCTATGGGCAGTAAAATCTTCGATCATAGGCAACTTTACCCGATCATTCGCTTCCTTAGTGTAGCCATCCTAAGATCCCGATTGCATCTTGACAAGACCAGGCAACAATCCCTGCCTTGCAAGACTGCCTTAACCGGATTTCAATGATCCGAGTCGGAGCACGGTGAGCGATTTTCTAAGACATGCATCTACTAGCAAGAGATCCACTGCGGCGGTTTTGACGAAAAGAAATATAGGCACTGCTACAGGTGACGGATCGTGCCACAACGACAATGCCCATGGAACTTTTCTGCCTTGCAGGAACTGACCTACATAGGTAGTAGTTTTAAGCTACCCATTACTAATTCATACGCTGCCCAGGTGTCCCGCATAGGTATTGAAGCTCATATTTATCTATACCAATAATTATAGGCACATCATAAATCCTTAGACTCACTTTAAAAGCTACTAATCCTAAACACTACATATATAAGGGTGATCTTACTTAGTTGTATATACGTCCCGTCCACGGGTAGACGGGACCTCGGGACCCCAGGAGTCTACCTGGTGGAACTACCCGTGGACAGGGAACTAGGGGGGAAAAATCAAATTTATAGTCCGTATATACTACCCATTTAGTCAATTTTTAATTCTACTAAAGTACTTTAGTGCTAGTCTTTATATTATACTAGAATTATTGTTGAAAACGATTGACTCGCACATTATCTTTATTTTTCTTGAAAAGCATCTGAAAAGACTTTCCAAGGATACATCCTTCCATCCCCCTTCTCTTGTATAATCTATAGGACTTCATATTGCGCAATTATACGTCCCCGTAGGATTTTGCGCTGCGAACATCCAGCTAATGATAAGAACGTTACATTGATTTAGAGCCCAAGCTCGGAAGACATTATTACTGATACCCGAAGCGCGCTCTTCTCGAGTGTCATTGTATAATTTCCGAGGCCCTACACACGTCTGAGATGGCCGAGGTTATCGACCAACACTTTCACCACTATAACGATATCAAGAGCAGCGCTAGTGATTGTGTTGGAAGATTGGGACCACGGATATTGGGTGTATTCTCCACGCCGACTTGTGGGGAAATTTTATCGAGTGGAATTCATGGCCTAGCAGATCCTTGAGATGATAGCTAATACTCTCGTATTACCTTACTACAAAAATGAGCATCTTTACACAATAAAAACATTTATACTAGACAATGCAAATAATCCATTATGCTACACGGGTAACAATTGATCGAAGTAAAATAATTTTATACAACTATGCTAACTCCAGATGGTAAATGGTAGATGAGGTCATAATCAAGTCAGACCGGGCAAAAAGAAACAAAGGGTATTCATCATCATAAAAATCACAGCCACACTCAAAGCTTAGCAGCACTGCCGGCAGAGGAGATCTCATTGTACAGCAAGCTGGTCAGGAAATCAGCGTAATCCTCACCAGTAACCTGGCCAGCAAAGTACCGAGCAGCAAGCTGGAACTTATTGCCCTTGCCACCCTTGGCTGCCAGACTATCAGCCTGCTCCTGCAGCAGACGTAGCGCAAACGCCTTATCCATGCGCTTGCCCTCGGCTGTGGTGACGTTGTGACGAGTCCACTGCCACAACTGACTGCGGGAAACCTCGGCTGTAGCGGCGTCCTCCATCAGGAAGTTGATGGGTACACAGCCGACACCGCGGAGCCAGCCTTCCATGTAGCTGAGGCCGATGTTCAGATTCTTGCGGATACCTTCCTCGGTGATCTTGCCGGGAACGTTGGTGTTGAGGAGGTCGTTGGCGGTGATGTTAACTTCCTCGCGGCGGACGAATAGCTGGTTGGGGGTAGGCATGTGTGTGTTGAAGACGTCAGAGGCAATAGCAGCCAGTGCAGGGTGCGCAACCCAGGTGCCGTCGTGACCAGCGCGCACTTCGCGCAGCTTGTCGGCGCGAACACTCTCCATCGCCTTGTCGTTGGCGGCGGGGTCGTTCTTGATAGGAATCTGTGCGGCCATACCACCCATGGCGTGAACGCCACGACGGTGGCAGGTCTTGATGAGAAGCTTCACGTAGGATTCCATGAAAGGCACAGTCATGGTGACATCGGAGCGATCGGGGAGGACAAAGTTGGGGTGCTGGCGGAACTTCTTGATGAAGGAGAAGATGTAATCCCAGCGGCCGCAGTTGAGACCGGAGCTGTGATCGCGGAGCTCGTAGATGATCTCGTCCATCTCGAATGCGGCAGTGATGGTCTCAATAAGGACAGTACCACGGATGGTTCCGCGGGGCAGACCAATGTAGTCCTGGGACAAGTTGAAGACGTCGTTCCAGAGACGAGCCTCCAAGTGTGACTCCATCTTGGGGAGGTAGAAGTAAGGACCGGCGCCGCGGGCGACCAGCTCCTTGGCGTTGTGGAAGAAGTACAGACCGAAATCGAAGAGACCACCAGAAATGGCCTCGCCGTTAACGGTGAAGTGCTTCTCATCGAGGTGCCAGCCGCGAGCACGGGCAATCAGAGTGGGCAGTTTGCGATCAGTCCGGAGCTTGTATTCCTTCTCACCCTGCTTGAAGTCGACCTGTCGGCGGATAGCATCGTACAGATTGACCTGGCCGTTCACCATGTTGTCCCAAGTCGGGGCGCTCGAATCCTCGAAATCAGCCATATAAGTCCAGACATCGGAGTTCAGTGCGTTCACCACCATCTTCCGGTCGGTGGGGCCAGTAATCTCGACACGGCGGTCTACGAGACCTGGGGCGGGAGGAGCACCCTTCCAGGCGTCATTCTCACGGATGTGCTTGGTCTGAGGGAGGAAATCGAGGAGATTGCCCTTATCAATCTCGGCTTGACGATCGATGCGGCGCTGGAGAAGAGCTTTGCGGGTGGGATTGAAGGTGCGGTGCAACAGAGCCAAAAAGGCACATGCCTCCTTGGTTAGGATCTTGCGAGTATCGTTATTGATAGCGCCCAGGATGGCGACATCCTTAAGCTGTGTTTCAACGTGAGACATGATGGATATATGTGTATAGATATGCAAACTAGGGGTCCATATACAGAAGAAATAGAAATTCAATTCGAGAAGAGAAAGAAAGGAAGAGACTATATTTCTATATAGCCATCTGCCCGAGGGTATCAAATACGTCAGAGCCACTTGGAGTTGCCGCGGTTGTTCTGGACCCGCCCAATGATAAGCCGAAACCCCATTTGACCGTCTCTCTCTTTCTCTCTCTCATAGTAAAAGACTGCAGTTCTTATAAGTTTCCCACGGGAAACTCCTTCCTCTCGGCCGACATTTCCCGTTCCCCGTATTTTTGAGCTTAGTTGTTCCCTTGGACGCGCTCGCTCCCAATCAGAACGGCATACGCCGCACAGTCTTATCAAATTCACTTTGGTCATCTTTGGGAAGACCTGAGTTATATAGCTTGTCTCCTATTTAATATGATAATGACCAATTCTCGAATCTAATATTTAAAACCTCGAACAATTCGCATTCCTATGTTATACCCACCCCTGCTTCACCCGAAAGTGGCTGTAGAATACTCTCCGCATGCCCCGGAAACTCCAATCAGCCGCGGCTCACTCTGAGTAACCATATCTCACAGGGTTCAGAAGAGTCATATCCGAAGCCGACTTGTCCCGGCGGTTTTCTGCATCACCCAGTGTTCATCGGCATGTGAGTGCATGTGATGTTGACTTGGAAGATGTCTTAAGTCTACATATACACCGGATCTTGGGTGCTTACCCCTTGCCGCTTTTTGATCACTGAGTAAAACTGCCCGTGCCCAGGTGCCCCGACCTAGTTATGGACGCCCCAGAGTATTATGTAATCATTGCACTCAGTGAGAATCACTTGATCATTACATAATCCTAATGAACTGCCCAGTGATCTGTTCACTGAGACACACCTTCGTAGACAGCTGTTAAGGCCCTGGCTGCCCCATTGACAGCTTCTGCCAATTAAAAGGGCGTGAATCCGATGATGAGAAGACAAGAAAGAAATCTTCAAAGAAATGGTACATATCAGGAATATTTCATCTACAACATATATATCAACTTTGTACCTATGGTTGAGCCAACTCGATGGAGAGATGATTCTGTAATGTTTACCTAGCTACTACGAGAAAGTATGCACAACAAAAGGGGTTCTATTGTTCTATTTCAACGTTCACTGCATGTGCATATCATAAAACTGCCTCATTCGTGCCCGCACTAGACCAAGAACAGAAAAGGGATGATGAGTGACCTTCAATCGGCTAATTATTGAAAATAGAGGTAAGTTGGTTTTCGGTTTTCGGTTTCAATTCGGCAAGAACCCGCTGAATTTGCTAAATGTAGGTAAAGGGGGGTTAGTCGCTATTTGAGTAGGATACATATAACACGTATGTACTAGAGTGTAGAATTTAGATCAGGGAAGTATTCAGAATAAAAATAACCAGACTACATAGTCCCGGTTAGGAATCCCAATCAACCTCCTAATTCTCATTCTAGGCATCACGAAGGGCTGTTTTTCTGTAGATACTGCGCCGAAGCCAGCACGTAAGTACGAACAAGGTGCAGCACCTGTTCAATTTCCACGTATTCGTTGACCGCGCTAACATTATCACCGTCAGGACCATACCAGAATCCAGGAATCCCTCGATATCTCCAATACTGGAGATCAGAAATGGCAATATCAGGAGCAAGCTTGGGCTTAGGCCAACCAAGCTTCGTGACAATGTTCTGGAGGATGACTGGCATCTCGCGATCCGTGGTTGATATATCCCCCGTGTCGGCCCCTTCCAACTCAATATGAGCTTCTGGATATCGCCCGACAATGGTTTTTGCCTTCTTGAAGATCACCTCCGGATCCATACCAGTGGGTGTGACAACAGTGGCTTCAAATAAACAATCAGGCGAAATAACAGATGGAGAGTTGCCGCCTGCGATGGTGCCAACATTTACTGAAATAGCGGGGATCACTGCAGCGCTTCCTTCTCCGTATATGCCATCATACCATTCTCGGTACTCTGCATCTTCCAGTAGCACCTTAATTGAAGGGGGGACTTCAACAGGAATACTCTCTAGCTCGTCCAGATCGCGAATGATGTCGGCGGCGATACGGATAGCACTAGGGCTTTGGTTGGGATAACCAGAGATGGGACCCCGGGTCGCAATGTTGACATTGAGCTGCAGGTAGCCCTTGGGGGAGAATTTGATGGCCTCCGTGCTACCTGGCTCGGGGGACAGCACACAATCAGCTTCCATCTCGCTCGGAATTTGAGGGTACGAGATGAATATATTTGTCGTATTAGATGATGCGGCCCTACTTCGCGCGATCTATTTGCTTAATTTGTCCATTAATCTTGAACGTTACCCAGCAAATCAAGTATTAAGTGCCTCTTCTGCAGTAAGGCGACTAGACGGTAAAAATCGCATCAATCCTTGGATCACATAAAGTAGAGGTTTTAGTGTTGGATTAGGTACCAAACCAGCAAACTTCCGTTCAAGCTTCGAGGTTCCGTAATCTTCGAGCAAAATTAGGAACAGTTCTGTATGTGGATCAATTTTATTACCTTCTTCTAGCTCCAGATTATGGCTAGAACTCATCAGCATTGGTTCCCACTTAGACTCCCATTCAGCTGGCAACCTCTCCACAAAGCCAATCATCTGGTAAATTAAAACTTCGTCCTCGCCAAGATACCAGGATGGCCAGGTCGTGAATAAGAAGGAATAAATCTACAACTCATATCGCCGTAAGTATCTTTCCTTCAAAGAAATGATATGTTGACGTACCATGCAACCTGTGCGCCATAAGTCGACGCGATAATCAAACCAGTCGGTGAAAATCGTCTCTGGTACCCTTAATGAAGCCGGCTAGGTCAGCTTCTGAGGTTCCTGCCCTTGAAAAAAAAAACTCTCTCCAAAATCGAGGACCCGAATATCTTCATCGTCCTCGTCTATCCACTCAGTCCATTTATCGGAGCATACAGACCGGCATACCGGGGATTTAATTAATCCAGGTTGTGCAGTAATTTTGAATTAGTAATCCGTAATCCATATAAATTGCTAGGAAAAGGGATACTAAAATACAGAGATTTTAACACCATTGATTGGACCCATACATTTCAGGATACCAGTGTATTCGACAGTTATAAGCCCGGTTCGCACCTAGTAAGGCCACGATCACTAAAGTATAGGGCCGAACACCCCCTAAAGCTATCCCTAATAGCCCCTAAAGCGGTATAGCAACCCCTAAAGCTATCCCTATAGCACCTAGCGCTGTATGGTAACCCTAAATCTATCAATGGAAGTAGCATTAATTCTCTCCGCTATAAAGGGCGATAAACTGAAGGACTCGCCGTAGTGGCTCACTTAGTATGCTCGGGTGTAGCTATATACGACACAGAAGAATGTTTAGGACCACTATAATCCCAATACCTCCCCCACTGTGAGGCCGGAAGCTCTAAAAGAGCCAATTGAACCGGAATACCTAGAGGATGGGAGTGAAACTAATCGGAGATATTAGAGAGATCGTATGGATATATATAAATTGAGATATGCTCGATGGGAGAAATAGGCGAAAGGACTAAGCGATATAAATAAATATATCCTCACCTACCTGGATTCAATGCACTATCTCAATCTGATAGGATATCATACACCGTATGATAGACTAGTATACCTAAAATCTCGCTTTACTCGGTCGACAGCGTATGAGGAGGAGGTTCGAATGAAATAGAAGGTCTTCGCTATACAAAAACCGACGGGGGATATTAAGCTGTGGCTATAGTAGTGGAATTCCCTAAGAGAGTAAGCGATCAGCCTTAGTATTAACGTTAGAGATGCCAATAGGGACTTCCTACACGTAGTGAAAGAAGTGCTTCCTATCTGGTGGTAGGGTAAATACTAAGAGATTGTTATCGATAAGAAGGTGTACGATACCCGAGATCTTATCGAATCTTTTCGCGCAATAAATAGAGAAATAGGGGTGCTAAAGGTATTATTAACCTCGCCCCCGAAGAGCGCCTTTTCTACCTAGTAAGGGTAGACCTTGCCAACTCCCATGGGACTAAGAAAATTTTGGTCCCATATCCTGGTCCCATCACTCCCATGGGACTACACTAAACCTAGTTAGGTAATATAATTACCTAAATAGGTAGCGATCATCGGTCTTGGCATTAATTTTGACTGCCAAGACTTTCTCGTGGGAGTGGGTCCATGGGACTTGTCCAGGTCTAGACGAAACACGGAGATACACCCCTGATTATAAGAGATATCAGCTAATTCCTATGCCAATTATATAAGAACTATAGGAACTCACCGCCGACGAGGTTATTAAGGTGATAAATCAACTACTTACTAGTTAGGAGACTAGGGAGCAAGAGGAAAGGGATCTATAGGATCTAGATGACTCCTAGTAACCAGATACCTAGCGGAATTAGTAGCAAAATCCCTAGTAAGAAGGGATAAATAGGGAGACTACCCTACTTTAGGGGGTGAATCGAGATATATCAATACCCTCACCGATAGTCTTATAAGCGATTTACCGAGTCCCTAAAATCCAGAAACCTTAAGTACCGCTAGGTACTTTTCTAAGCGACGAAGACCTTCCTCCGCTACCGATTACCCCGCCCTAAGAACGAGAATCCGAAGCCGATACTAGCCTAGGTCAGGGGGTGGATATACTAGACGGAGACCTAACCCACCACGAAGCTATTTCTGAAGCTATTTCCGACGTGGAAGATGAGCTAGAAAGGCAGCTATAGGCAGAATTGCTAGCACTAAGTAGGGAGATCACCGGTGGAATTAACGTAAGCAATATTATTAGCGGTAAGCGAAGACGTTAGGCGAGATGAGACCAGGATTTCGCCTACTCCACTTTAGCTACAGAAGAAGACCCGCTAGGAGTACAACACGCCTTTATAGTAGGCTTATACGCTAAGAAGCCAGAGATCCGGCGTTATCGAGATAATCTTCTACTAGTCCCTAAGCACTAGAAGGATGTTATAAATCATCCTTTCTAAGAAGGCTTCCTCGCAGCAATAAGAAAGGAGATTAATTCCTTAACCGAGAAGGATACCTACGAGGTTGTAGAAAGGCTAAAGGATAGAGGTAAGCAGATACTCCCCTTGCTATAGGTCTTTACGTACAAATTTGATGAAGATAGCTATCTTATTAAGCTAAAGGCTCGTATCTATATACGAGGAGATTTAGAAACCATTTCTTATAAAGAAAAGAGGGCTACCACCCTAGCAGCAAGGATAGCAAGGATGATCTTCGCCTTAGTCGCTGCCTTTAACCTCGATTTAAGATAAAGAGATACTGTGACGGCGTTCCTAAACAGTAAATTAGACAAGGATATATACACTTATATACCTAAAGGTTTCCAGATTCTAGGCAAGTGTTAGAAGCTCCGCCGAGCTTTATACGGTCTACGAGTCTCGCCTAGGCTATAGCAACAAGAAGTAGCCAGCGTACTCCGTAAATTAGGGTTATAGCAAGCACCTAAAGACCCATATGTTTTTATAGGAGAAGGACTACTAGTCTTCTTCTATATAGACGATATCTTGATCGCCAGCCACAGATCTATACGGGAGAAAGCAAAGTAGCTTAAACGAGATCTAGAATCCCACTAGGAATTAACTAATCATAGAGAAGTAGCTTGGTTCCTAAATATCCGAATCATTAGGGATAGGGAGTAGAAGAAGCTATAGCTATACCAAGATAGCTATATAACAAGCATCGCGACTCGGTACAATCTAATAGATAGACCACCGGTTTATACCCTACTACTAGTCGTCGATTTAACCCCATTTTAGGGGGTGGCCACCCCGAAAGAGACCCTTCTTTACTAGTAAAAGGTAGGATCTACTAGGTATGCCACCACTATCACGAGGCCCGACGCCGTAAAGGCCACCGCACGCCTAGCGCAATACCTAACAAACCCAGGTCCCTAGCACCAGCAAGCAGCTAATCGGGTGATATCCTACCTATATTCCACCCGGTGTCTTGCCATTGAATACGGTGTAGGTTCGGGGATAGACTCGGTGCAATTCGCAAGTGATGCTTCGTACGGGGATCATTCTAATAGAAAGAGCTTAGCTAGGTATATCTACCAAGTGTACGGTGGCCCAGTGGACTAGAAGGCGAGCAAGCAACCCACAGTCACCACTTCCACCACCGAAGCCGAATTACTCGGGCTTTCCGAAGCAGTAAAGCAGCTTTAATAGTGGAGGAGACTACTTAATACCCTTGGTTTCAACCCCTCCCACGAATTAACTATCGATTATAACAATAAGAGAACTATCAGCCTATTGAAGAGCGAGGATACAGCCTTCGAAACAAAGCTTAGGCACGTCGATATCCATCGCCACTAGCTAAGATAGGAAGTCAAAGAAGGGAGGATATAGGTGAAATAGGTGCCTATAGCAAGTATGGCAGCCGATAGACTCACGAAATTGCTTACTCGGCAAAAGCATAAAGCCTTCATTCAAATACTTTATATGGTGGATATAGGCCACTTAATAGTATGAAGAAACAGAGATTAGTATACCGAGGTGTGTGGGGTTCTAGCAATCCCATACTAGCATCGCTAAGGGGGTGTGTCGGAGCATACAGACCGGCATACCGGGGATTTAATTAATCCAGGTTATGCAGTAATTTTGAATTAGTAATCCGTAATCCATATAAATTGCTAGGAAAAGGGATACTGAAATACAGAGATTTTAACACCATTGATTGGACCCATACATTTCAGGATACCAGTGTATTCGACACCATTCTGCTGCCTTAATCAGCTAGGCCGGCAATTCATTGCCTAGAGGCGTACTATAAACCCGTTTCAGCGGCTCAATTTCCGGGAATCCAAGAATATCAAAAAGCTGCTCCTCAGTCTATTTAGACAAATGAGTGCAACTAAATGCAATGTTCCGACCACTGATGTCTAATAAGATATGAGTAAAAAGGCCTAACCACAGAAAACAGCTACAGAGGGGGAAGCTCCCTCGCCTCCATAGCATATTCTGGCACTATGAATGAATTTGACAGCTTTCAAGAGCTGCGTAGAGATTCGAAGCACGGTTTCCGGGAGGAGTTTGTCGTGAGCCTCGTGGTAGTCCGAGAGGACCTTATCAACTGAAGGACTAATCCCAGGGAATAGGTATTTTCCGGATTACAAAGCCCATGCTGATACCTAGGTATCTACTGAGAGCTTGACCCTCATAAAAGCGGCGGCAATAGGCCCTAGGGAAAAACCGGGATTGGAA